TCTTAAGCTTCCCATAAGGGTCACCAACCCCGAACACCACTCTCGCTTTGGGTACCAAAATTCTTGTACGTACTGCGCGACGTCTTTGTGGTTCGCCATTATTTGCATTCTCGAAAGACTGAGCAAGCATCTTCTCTACTTCACCTCGTTGCAGACTGGCCAAAACTTCTCTTTCGGTTGTTGCCTTTCGTCCAGTAAGTTGGCAGAAATAATTGCCAGACGCTGAATTTGTACACATACTCTTCAATAGAGTCAAATAGCCATTCTGCAGTGACCTGAGATGGTTTATCGACACACCTCTGATTGCCAGAAACATGACCAATCGAGAATCAAGGTAGCCGTTCACGTCAGAAGCGGAATGATCAACAATTCCAATAAAAGGAATTGCCTCGCCGTCCTTCTTGCTGGGAGTGGAAAACAAGCGCATGGACTTGCGGAATTGGACTAGGGGAACGTTCATTAGAGTTTCTCGAACTACCAAAATACCCTGAAGGCCTTGGTTGCTCACTTGAAGGGCACTAGGTGCTGGGTGATCCACGCCAAGCTTGGGTCGCACCTTGAGGGTGAATCCCGGAGACATGAAACCACGACCGTTAGTGAAAGGGCGAGGCATCTTTTCAAAGAATCTGCCTTTCACATCAGGCTCTTCTCCAATATCATCCTCACTAAGCTTCACTAAGTGTTCAAATGGAACGAATAACGAGCCAATTTCACTAGCGCGTTTTCGAACATTTGTTGTATTAGCGAAATCGCCAAACCGTGCGAGGAGATCGTGAATTTCAGTGTCTGAGGCGTTCATAAAGTAGCACTTTCTCTCCCAGAGGTGACTGTCGGAATGTCCAAGGAAATGATACGAACCACTGTTACTGCCATCACAATATATGCCTCGCCTCAAGACGTCCTCGCAGAAGGTCTCTTTCTTTTTTTTTTCCGTCAGTTTTGTGTTGAAAGAGACGGCTATCAGCTTCTCGGGAAACGATGGGTCCTTCTGCCTCATGTGTTCAAACAGAAGGGTTTTATCGAGTTTTTTAATCCCCTTCTCGTATTGTGTTTCGTCTTCGCCATTAAATTCCACGTATTTGATGTAAACTTCATCACCGGTGGGAGGAGCGATGTTGTCTTGGAAACTGATGCATATAGCAAAAGCCATGAGACCCAGTTATCGCGAAGAAATCGTAAGATTGCTGTTGATAGGGAGACAAGGAGTTGTTAATTGACCTTTTCCAACGCCACTGTAAATTTGATTGTAGCTTACATGTTTTCAAAATTTGTCATTCATGTAGCACTTTTAAAAAGATTTAACGTTTGGAAATGATCCGATGTGTTTGCGAATAGCACATTGGAAAAATGTGTGAGTGCTGAACAAGCTTCAATATTGCAACTAGACTCGATGACGTCAAATTTACGCTGCTAATTTACAAACATGGGAAATGGCGTTCGACGGTATAACTGTACATATTTGTTTCCAACGTGTACAACGCAGAAAAACTATCGGAATATATATATTCATATTCCACTTGATGGTTTGGTGTGTAGTATCGCTGAATATTTGAACGAGTTGCGTCGTATTTTGACGAGCCCGTAGGGCAAGTCAAAATACAAACAACGCCAGAGAATCCAGAAGTAGAAAACATCATACAAAATGCCAACGAATCGTTCTCCATGAAACATTAAGATACCAAACTTTAAGTTCAAACTCGATCAATCTTATCGCCGATACTGCTGAGTTATGTATATCGAGTAAGAGGTCAAATTCTGTAAGTCGCAACGAGACCGACTGATATACTAGTCAAGAAGAAGTATTCTTCCATAAACAGCTCAGCTGTTCGCAAATTAAACGTACCACTTCAAGTTTATCTGTTCTAGGGCAAGATGGAAGGAAGCTGATGTTTACATCAATTTCTTTATACTGACAATGAACCTGATTGATAACCTCATTTTTCACTGGCAAGAGCAAACCTGAACTTATTCGATCATAGCTAGTTGAGTTAGCTTGGCTATTGAATAATCTCCCTCAATGGCTGTTCAGACTATATTCAGTTTCATTCTAACCGAGCAAGGTAAAAAACGTTTCAGTGATGTCTCTAGAAAATAGCTAAATACCTTCAATCTGACTTCCCCTTCACAAATCTTGTTTCCTTCAACGGTAGAGTGCAAGGAACTACACTGATGCAGTGAACAATTTGTTTTTTTGAAAGTGGACCGCAACCGAAAGCAAAACTTGGGGGAATCCCCTGAACGCAATTGAACATTACTTAGACATCCTTTTTTTAACATTTGGCTGATGGCCCATTTTGTAACTCTCTCCGGCTTGGTGCCTTTGATATGTTGACATGTTCACAACAATGGGAAACGTTAACATCAATTAAAAGCTTGGTAGGGGATGCGAAGAAATTCCAAATTCGTAAAAAACAAGTGCAAATGTCTGAGAATAAAACCTGATTGTTCTGGCATATGAAAATAAATACCAACATGACATCGCAATAAAAAAGGCGATTGAGTTTGTAAATAAACAGAATCGGTAAGCGACGAACAATGGGGGATGAGAATAGGAATTTTTCAAATTGTATAATTGTTCTTCGGTGAAATCTCTTGCGTGATTATTCCGTGCTGTAAAAAGTTTAGACAGCTGTAAACGATTGATGATATTTTTTTAACTGCTCGCATGTCTAATATCAGTTTCTTAGAAATGTGTTTATCTGATTGAGGTATTTCCGAGAAATTCAACCTCTTAACTGACGTCAATGGTCTGTTCTCGAAAAAGTATTTCAATTGCAAACGAGCAGGGAACCTAAACAAGAAATAAAGCACAAAAGATGCATCAAAAAAATGCCACATACAGCTACATAAAAACAAAGAAACCTATCAATTACGTGAAGGAACTCTGCACGAATGTCTAGACGCTATAAGGGAATTTCCCAAACACATCGTCATATACAAATTCAGCACCATGGGAACTGTAGCCAAAGGATGTAAACAAGGCTGTGGCGTTTTTATTAGCGGAAATGCACTGAGTCGAGATTATTTTATCTGAAGAGTCAGTTGAGGAAAGAGAAGATTTACCAGCAAAGTTGCAAGGTAGGAAAGTAAGAAGTTTGCTTGCTTTACAAATCCCCTGGCAAAGCAGGAACCAAAAGTCGCAAAATCAACGAGACAGCCGAATTTGGTGTTGTTAAAAGACAACTCGAAGACTAAAGCATCTCTCGAGTTTTACGCTCGCCTCTGATTATGTCTGTAGAAATTTAGTCTCTTTCGCGCAAACGATCAATTAAACATGAGCTCGTGAGAAGGGTCAGGACAGTTATTTGTCAGTCAAGCACATACTCAAGCTAAAAAACCGAAATAAACAAAATGCGGGTTTTCCCGGCCGCATCTTCTCTTTATCAGGAGGAACAGGGCCCTAGAGGAATATAGAAATCTCTTTAAACACGAAAACGTACTCCAGTAATAACATGAATCTAATGTCTCTCTTGGTAAATCTTCGTTTATGCCGTCGCAAAGACACGGTTTCCGACTTAAAACAACTAATCGGCGAGCGGTATTCATGTATTCTGTTCAACGCTTGCGACAACCGCATTTCACGTTTTTCGACAATGACACGTTAACGCTACCATAGGTTTTTCTCTTCGGAGTAAATCGGGAAATTTATCTTTAATGAACCTCAACTTGACAAACTTCATTTGCAATTCAATCGCTGAAGCAGGAAATTAATTGAAACACATGTGTACTTTATAATTTCGCATAAAAATTTCATTTTCGTTCTTACCAACTGAACTTCAAAATTGTAGAATTCCGAATAGAAATTTTAAGAGAAACAGAGATTCCATTTGTCACAACAACAGTTGATTGCCAGTCGGAAAAACCCCTATTTAAACGGTGATGTATAGAATTAATTATTCTTCACGGTCTGGATAGTTCGATTGTGCGCATCTAAGCCTTTCAAAACTCGTCATTCCTCAAAAACTCAGATCTGTCAAATGTTTAAAAATTAAACCTTCGATATGGTGGAAAAAGAAAATCTAATAATAAACAATTTTTAAGAAAGTGTAAACCCTTGATGGTCGGTGAAACGAAACCGAAAGTGATGACACTGCGGGAATTTTTGCTGACATGCAGCTGCAAGTTCTAAAGGCCGAACATATGAAATACAAAACCGAACAAACAAGATAGCCTTCTCGCATGGCACATCCTGATTGGTCCCACCAAATATCTTACATCGTCTACAACAATTGCTGAGGCTAAAATTAGTGTAAAGGGAATGTCCCTATCGTTTCTGACCTTAAACAGTATACAAATTCAACCAATGCACCAACAAGGCACACACTGTGTTCATCATAACTCCGGAGAAGGTTTGGATTTAAACGCTTGTACTTGGTTAACAGAACTTTGGAAAAGCAGGGTAAGGAACCAAATTATCAGTGACTGAAATTGATCAATTAATATCACTATCGGTTAGGAATGATCTTTCTTTGTGGATTTTATTGCCGAGCATCCAGTTCTAGCCCTGCTGACTCATTGTGTTCCGTATATCTGTTTTAGATCAGTATCTTAATTTATCTAAGCTAGAACGCGACATGAATTCCTTCAGAGCACCTTACCAGACTTACATCAACTAGGTGAAAAATGTAAAATCCCACGGCTTAATTGCAAATTTTAATACAAAGTGTCTTAAGTTAGTATACATACATCCTCCAATTGAGCAATATTATACAATATGATGTGATAAATCGATAATTCCGGCAATGGTATGTAAATGACTAATCGTTGTCTGTCCGCTGTCTAACGGACCGGGTCATGTATCGATTTAACTACTCCTCGTCTTGAAGAGGGCATACATATTTGAGTTAATAACAAGGAAAAAGGGTTATATTTCATGGCACGCGAGGTCCTTTCCAGAAATGAGCTTATTGCTTGGGTGTTTCGGGGTATCTCAGCGGCGCTCACAATGTTTGTAAGTGTTTTCATTCATTCAAGCTCTGAATCTGTTTAATTATAGGAAATAGAGTCGAAGATTTCCGAATCCTGTCAGTCTTCAAAATACATCAAATGGCCTATCATCTCTGCATAGACGAGCCAGACACTCCTAGGCCAGCAGAGACCACCGAAGATGATGTCCACCTAATTCATGTACAATTCCATGGCACCGGTCGAAACGACTATAGAGTTGAGTATGAAAAGCACAAGAGCACCATGCTGACAGAATACCTGAGACAACGTGATGGGCCTGACTTCCACGAAAATCTCATGAAGCTGACTTTTGATATCACGCCTGTCGAAGATGCAAATAAGTTCTGCCGAAGCGTTTTGGAAAGGGGGATATTTTGTCGTCGGCGCCCATACATCTACCTCGGTCACTCGGATGAGCAGCTTGCCAAAAAATCTTGTTACTTTATTGCGGCAAAACATGAAGAAATCCACGACCTCTTGTCAAAGTTTGGAGACTTTTCTGGTGAGGAGAACGTGGCAAAGCGCGCCAGCAAAATCGCCATGCTCTTTTCACCATTGACCGAAACTGTACAATTGGCTGAAAATGATTTCAAAGTCGAACCAGATGTGACAAGTGTAGTTTTCCCCTCGCACACTTTCACCGATGGATGTGGTTTCATGTCTCCACAATTCGCTTCCGAAGTGCAAGAAGTCTTAGGTCTTGACTTCCAGCCTAGCGCCGTCCACGTACGCTATCGAGGCATCGAGGGGATGCTAATTCTTAAAGAGGATCTGAGTGGTATTAAAGTGCAGTTCCACAAATCAATGCAAAAGTTCCTGGACCCTGATGGGGAAAAGCCTGACGTTTTTAACATCGTCAATGTCATGGGTTATTCACGCCCATTCAACAATGGTTATCTTAACTCACGGATGATCATGTTGCTGGAAGAACGTGGTGTTTCTGCAAAGAGTCTTGAGGCCTTACAAGATGGCTACTATGAGTTACTGGAAGGCATAAACAAAAAAACGTCTGATTATTTCCTAACTCTAAAGGGGGAGATTCATCTTTTGCAAGAAATCCAAGAAAACGGAATTGACGGTCGCACAAAAACGGAACTTAAGCGTTTACAGAAGCGCGAGCTGGAAGAAATGGAGAAAGCTGGGTACACAAGAATTCTTGTCCCCAACTCTCGAGAAGTGTATGCTGTGTGCGATCCTCTCAACAAGTTAAAGTACGGCGAGTGTTACTTCAATCCCACTGTCGATGGTGACAAGACACGAGATTTTACTGCCGGCCAGAAGTTTGTAGTGATGCGAAGCCAATGTTATCATCCAGGAGATGTGCGTGTGTTGAAAATGACTAACAAAAGAAAAGGGTACGAGAAACTGAGGGATTGTCTGGTGTTACCCGTCAAAGGTCCACGCCCCCATGCGTTTGAATGTTTCGGAGGTGACGTGAGTGGAAAAAAATTCTTCGTCAGCTGGGATGAAAACATCCTTCCAAGTGGAAAAGAGAAACCATGCAACTATTCGCCCTCCGTTAAAGCTAAAATCTCCGCAGCTGCGGCTCACTCTGTCTCCAAACTTACTTCACAACTTAAGAGAACCAACCCAAGCAAAGGAGTGGAAGACAGAAAGGAAATGGAGCTATATTTTGCCACATATTCTGATCAAATAAGCAAAGAGATCGAACAGGCGCACATGCAATGTGCAAAGACATCGGGCCTCTCATCCAAAGAATTTCGACACCTCTGCAAGATGTTGTACCGAGCCACCATCCCTGGAGAGGATCTTCAGAATTTGCAGAAAGAGCTAAAAAGCGTGGAGCCAGAAATACTCTCAGGAAAGAGCACAGGTCTACCAATTGACCACGAAATTACCGGAAACCAGTTTACAAGTTTAGCAGGAAGTTTGGATTCATCACTCGATGAAGAGGATGATTTCGAAGAGCGGCAGTCACTCGGACACAACACCCTGTGCGCGACGACTGTATGCGAAAGTAGCTCAGGAGATCCCTGTCAAAGTGGTATTAAAATATGGCAAAAGATTGACAACAGAGCCAAGGAATTTGTTCTTCGTATGCAGCATGAAACGAGGAAGATCGTCGTGTAATTTTCAGAATAGCCGTTTATTTGTTTTAGTAGGGTAATCATTACTGAGTTGACTACACATTATACCTTTTCTTCGCTGCGAAACATTTGTGAGGAAAAAAATTAAAAAAAAAAAGAATGCGCTAGTGATCGAAACTATAATTTTTCTGCATGTCCTACGCAGATATGAACTTGCTGCACTGACACATTTGTTGGATGGTCACGCAAACACCTTCGCTAGATGGTCAAGCAACGGTTTCTATTCGGCTTATTACCATCTAACTGTACAATTAATGTGAAAGACATACTATGAACTGTCGGCAGCTTCTTTTTATTCTATCATAAGGTATTAAAGACAATATACAAAACAAATTTTTTGCTGAATATTATAACCTTCATCGTCGAAAAAATCGATAAGTAATGTCACATAATAAGTGTACAATAAAACGAGTATTTCTGTGTTTGTTCAGACTATATTCAGTTTCATTCTCACCGAACAAGGTAGTAAATGTGTCAGTTATGTCGCTAGACAATAGCTAAATACCTTCAGTCTGACGTCCCCTCTATATGTTTTGTTTCCTTCAACGGTAGAGTGCAGCGAACTACACTGATGCAGTGAACCAATTTGTTTTTTTAAAGTGGACCGAAACCGAAAGCAAAACTCGGGGGAATCCCCTGACTGCAGTTAAGCATGGACATACTTTTCTAATATTTGGCTAAGGGCCCATTTTGTGACTCTCTCTTGGTGCCTTTAATATGTTAACATGTTGATGGGAAACGTTAACGCCGATTGAAGCGATGCGAAGAAATTCCAAATTCGTAAAAAAAAAAAACAAACAAAAAAAAAGAAATACCGACATGACATCCCGATAAAAAGGCGACCAGTTGTAAATAAACATAATCGGTAGGCGACGAACCATGAGAAAGTTATAGGGGGTGAGGGTGGATATTTTTCAAGTTGTATAATTGTTCTTCGGCGAAACCTCTTGTGTGATTATTCCACGCTGTAAGAAGTTTAGATATGTGTAAGCAATTGATGATCCTTTTCCCTAACAACTCGCATGTCTAACATCAGTTTCTCAGACGTGTTTACCTGATTGTGGTGTTTCCGAGACTCTGCAATTACAAGCAAGCAGGTATATTAAGCAGGAAATATAGCACGAAAAGTGAATTAAAAAGAGTACTGCAACATGCAGCTACCTAAAAACAGTAAATTTTTTTAACTGATGGAAGGAACTATGCTCGACTTCCCTAAATGCTTTAACCCTTTAACTCCCAAGATCTGATAGTCAATTCTCCCCTGCAGCTACAACATGTTTACTTTTAAAGGGCATGTAAACCCAAAAATACATGTTTTTCTCATACTATGTTAAAAGTGGCGTAGAGAACGAATCTGAAATTCGTTTTGTCCAATTCGACTTATTTTAGGAGAAAATCGGCATTTTCAACTGAAATTCTATTTCCGGTAAAAACAATAGCGAGAGTCGTGACGCAAGCGGTGGAACTGAAATATTGCGCAACACATATTCCCTAGCAGAACTGGTGTGGTAGCACGTGTAAGTAGCGGTAGTTCGAAGATGTTTTTCAGAAGATAGCGACTCGAATGCCCTAAGCTTAGTATATGACGGCGTTGGGGATGGTCTAGAATCTTTAGGAAAGTCTGGGCCACGTCCTTGACAATATGAGCTGCGTAGGGTTCACCGAAGCGATCCGCAAGAACACAGTGTTGACAGCGATGCGACCTCCTCGGAAACTCAGACTGGTATCTAATTTACTGTGTGATTTACTTGTATTTGATATGAAAATCCAATAAAGCAAGGGCACAATCTAAAAGAATGCAACAGAAATTTTTTAAACCCGCTGAGCTTCCGAGGGTGTTTTGTATAAAATTGTCAAAGGTGCGAGTGTGGAACTTGTCAACCAATGCCGACAACTCGTGAAAGTGTTTGTTGTACGGAAATCGGGCAATTGTGGCAAAAAGTAGAGGAGCGAGGGTCTGAAACCCAGATAAGTTGTATCACTGAGTATCCAGGTTTTTAGTCAATTTGCCTTGATTTCTGGGTGCTAGAGACGGCCTATTACACGTACAGGCAGCAGTAAGGCACAGAGAATCACACCGGAAACGAGTAAGCTAAATGTTTTCCGTTTCATCTGTTTCGTTACATTTTGAGATCGATTTGCTTGAGTTGTTTCTGTCATTGATTTAATAATACAGTACTACAGCTAGCTGTTTATAGTTCCGAATAATTTGCTTCTGGTAGGGCCTGAATTGTCGGTACAACACCAGGAAGAAAAAATGACTGCTACAAACAACAGAATGTTCGAACGGCTCGACGAAATCGGCTATTTTTATTTGAACAAGTTTCACAAATTGTGCTTCAAATTTGCGTCATTTGGAAATATTTGCGTTATATGCTCAGTTTTGTTTGAATCAGTACAAAACTGGATTACACAACGCTTTACCATTATGAAAAAACTGAGTATATTGAAGCAAACTGTAAGTAAAAAAATCGTGACGAGACCGGCAAACAACGGCTGTGGAAAAGACTCCGTGTCTCACGCGATTATTAAACGAAACTTTGTAGGTTCCACCCGTGACGTCACAAGAAAGACGGCGCCATTCAAAATGGTGAATGTTTCGAATTTGGAAGAGCTTTTTCAAAGTGAAAATGGACTTTTGAGAAAAAACGAATGGCACCTTTGGTGTACTTGATATATTTACTAAACATCTATGTGAAAAGAAAATGAACGTTTTTTGGGTTTACATGCCCTTTAAATTAGTTACAAGAATTTGGTGTTAGATCAAGACAACAACTTCTACTTGATATGTTTGAGTATTCTCATTACATGTTTGCTGGATAATGCATGGGTATTGTAGGGAGAAGTTAGATGTTAATCACTTCTGGGAGTTAAAGGGTTAAAGAAATCTTACAAACACATCGTCATATCCAAATATAGCTCACGAGGAACCAGGACTAAAGGTTATGAACCAGGCCGTGACGTTTTCGTTTGCGGAAATATACTGAGTCAATATTATATATCTGGAGAATCTGTTGAAGGGGAAAGAAGATTTACCAGCAAAGTTGCAAGGTAGGAAAGTAAGAAGTTGGCTTGCTTTACAAATCCCCGGGCAAAGCAGGAACCAAAAGTCGTAAAATCGACGAGACAGCCGAATTTGGTGTTCTTAAAAGGCAACTCGAAGACTAGAGCAACTCTCGAGTTTTACGCTCGCCCCTGATTATGTCTGTAAAAATTCAGTCTCTTTCGCTCAAACAAACAATCAAACATGAGCACAAAAGGGTAAGGACAGTTGAACCTGCTTAGATCAATATTTGTCAGTCTAGCACACACTCAAGCTTGCAACGAAGAAACCGAAATAAACAGATTACGAATTTATCCCGGCCGCGGCTTCTCTTTATCAGCAAGAACAGGGTCCTAAAGGAGTATTGAAATTTCTTTCATCACGAAAAAATTATCCAGTGATGACGTGAATCTAGTGCCTCTCTTAGAAAATATTCGTTTATGCCGTCGCAAAGCCATGGTATCCGACTTCAAATAACTAATCGGCAGGCGGAAGTTTATATGTTGGAGTCATCGATTCATGAATTCTGTTCAACGCTTGCGACAACCGCAGTTCACATCTTTCGACAATGAAACGTTAACGTTATCATAGGTGTTTTTCCTTCTGAGTGAAACAGGAAATTTATATGTAATTAAGCTTAGCTTGACGAACTTCATTTGCAATTTAATCACTGAAGCAAGTAATCAATTGAAACACATGTTTACTTTACACTTTCGCTTTAAAATTTCATTTTCGTTCGAACTGGTTGGATTTCAAAATTGTAGAATTCCGAATACAAATTGCAAGAGAGAGAGAGAGATATTTTATTTGTCACAACAAGAGTTGATCACTTATCAGAAAAACCCTTATTTAAAAGAGGATGTATAGAATTAATTAATCATGTCCGGTGAGAGTTCGATCGAGCGCATTTAACCCTGTTAGAATTCGTCATTCCTCAAAAAATCATATTTGTTAAATGTTTAAGAGTTAAACCTTCGCTATGATGAACAAGAAAATCCAATAAGAAACGATTTTTAAGCAAGCGTAATAGCTTGATAGTCGGTGAAGGAAACCGGAAGCGATAACACTGCAGGAATTTTTTTCCTGACAATGACGCTGCAAATTCTGCAGGCCGAAGATATGAAATACACAGCCGGACAAACAAGTTAGCTTTCTTGCATGGTATATCCTGATTGGTTCCGCCAAATATCTTACAACGTTTAAAACCATGGGGTGCGCGCACTCCGTTTGTGTTACATTGTGGTAGCGTTATTTTCAATATGGCGATGAAAGTGGCAGAAATTGGCAGATTTTGACTGAACATTCCGTAAAAGTTAGGCCGTTCCTTTTTTTCTTTCACCATAGGTAAATGTTATTTGATTTATTCTGAATGTGTAAAAGTATTTTTTGTACGTATTTGTCGCGTATTCGATGGTTCTCAAGGACAAACGCAATCACTGTTTTTTTAGTATGTAACTTAAGACCGGTTTTCGAGAAGGTCGAATTTGATGTATGTCGTAGTTTGAAGCCTTTCGAAGATTTGGATGGCCGCTTTGATCCTTCTTCAACAGCTCTGACCAAACGCTTTCAAATGCTCTCCAACGGTACATGTGTTCCTCGCATTTTAAGTGCTAGTGTTTGAGACCGATTATGGCCGAGAAAAGGCCCATCGTTGCGTTACTTAGCGTTACTATCATATACTGAATTGTGTTGTAAATCTACTTTCCTAAGTAAAAGCAAATTAACTAATCGCGAGTGTTGTAACGTCAATCTATTATCTTGATCATTGAAAGAAGGATAGTTGAATTAGAGCAATGAATCTCTTCATTTGACCAATGAATAACTCTATAATGCACACGGCGACACATCGGGTAAGCCCGAAAGCAAAAGGCAGTCGATCGTTAAAAGGTGTTGATGGGCTTGTGCGACTCCTGCCATTCGCTTGCGCTTTTAAATCTTCGGACCTGAAAGCTTGGCTATTATTAAGATATATTTTAATGACTTTCGTTTTCGATGTGATAATAAGGGTTAATTTTAAGGTGTCATTTCCCCATCTGTATGTTCCTGCGGTTTGGCAAAGCCGGATGAGATTGTGTTACAAAAGATAATATTTTCGTGTGTGCGCGCTATTTTAATTGTTTTCGAGTATACTGTCTCTCCCGCAGAAAACAATTCCAGAGATCTGTTTCTTAAAACCCTATTCTAGGTATTCTCTATTCTTTAAGCATATTTGAAACTCTATACGTTTCTCATTTAACGTTGAGCGTGACGAATTTGGTCTTAGGAGGCGTAAGGCTTCTCCTCTCGCGAATCCCGTATTTAAGCTTTAAAGTCTATGACATGAAAAATAATCCGTGTATCAGAATGTCGCTGTCTCTTTGTAATGCGTTTGCATGTCGAGGGTCGACTCCCCGTTAAATAACTCGCGAATTTGATATCATTCACACAGCCTTCGGATTTGAGTGTAACTGTTACCAAATGAATAGATTCTTGAGCAAGGCTGCAGTTTGGATTCATTCTGAATCTCTTCAGTTGCTTCATAACAACAAATTTGTCACAGAGGAATAATAGAAGTCGCTTTGTTCCGCAAACACTTTTTAACTTTCGAATGAACGGCAACAGACACTGAATCCCCATTACATTCCTCGCTGCCACCAAAGATGTTCACTCGACCGCGACATGATGCGAATGACTCGCTTTTCGTTTTACGACCATGATGCAACGCAATCAGAGTGCACACAACCCCTGCTGAGTCAATAATATGCCTTCTTGCATGGTACATCTGCATTGGTTCCACCAAATATCTTGCAACGTTCACAACAATTGCTGAGGCAAAAATTAGTATACAATACAATACAAACTTTATTAACACTCTATAGAGGGGGTTTTCGGTGTTAATCATCTAAAACTAAAATGAATAAGATAAAATTGGAATACAATCGCCATAAAATTACAATAAAATACGATGAAAATTACAATGTGTTACGGAGTTAAAAATTCACGCAAGAGTTTATTTCTTATTTCCTTTTAAAAATAAAAACAGATTCACATAACTGAAAAGTATCGTCCAGATCATTCAATAAAGAAACTGTCCGATATAAAAAGGTCCTTTGTCTTGTAGCGCTTTTAAAACATGGAACCTTAAGAAGGTGGGAATTTCGAGTGACGCGACCACTTACCACTATCCTTGCTTAAGGCAGTATTTTTACATTAATCACATGTACAGTAAAAGTTCTCCTTGTAATGTATCTAAATTAAGTGACTATTACAAAATCGCACGTTCTTTCACCTCATTTAGCCTAAGAAAATGCATACAGTTATAGATATTGATCCCATCTTTTTATATCGTAAATATACTCGGACTTCGTCTACATTATTATGAAATCTAAGGTCACGAAATCTAGCTTCTTTGCGTTACAAATGTCAATTTCTAATTAATATTTAATCACAAAATAATCAAGTTTAGCATCACATATTTCTTTCCCGACACTTGCCTCTCTTCGCTTTAAGAAAAGCGAGGCAAGGTAAGGGGGCGTTAGACCAGACATGCTTTAGAATGCGAGTAAAGCATCGCGATAGTATAGCTGCGATTTGACTGAAAGCCAGCGTAAATCTATTAAGATTGGGGTTACGTTATCGAACTTCCTGGTGTTGCTGATGATTCGGCTGGCGAAGTTCTGTGCAGCTTGAAGCTTAGGTAGATGTGCAGTTGCTGCATTCAACTTCCGTATAGCATGAGCTGCCTGAAGGGGAATGTCACTGCCGTTTTTAACCTTAAGCGGTATGTAAATTAAACTAATGTACTCAAGAGGCACCTGAACTGAGTTCATAATAACTCTGGAGAAGGTTTGGATTTAAACGTGTGTACCTGGTGAATAGAAGTTTAGAAAAGTAGGGTAAGGGACAAAATAATCAGTTACTGAAATTAATCAATTACTATCATTATCGGTTTGGAATAATCTTTTTTGTAGATTTTATTGCCGAGCACTGATCAAGTTCCAGCCCTGTTGACTGATCGTGTTCCGCACATCTGTTTTACATCTATCTTAGTTCATCTCAATTAGAGCGCGACACGAATTCCTTTAGAGCACCTCACCAGACTTACTTCAACTGGATGAAAATGTAAAATCCCACGGCTTAATTTAAAATTTCAAAACAGGGTGTTTAAGTTAGTATACAAACATCGTCCAATTTAGCAATATTACATGATATGATAAATTGATAATTCCTCAATGGTATTGATATGAAGAATCGTTGTATAACGGGCCGGGTTTTGATTTAACTACTCCTCGTCTTGAAGAGGGCATACATACTTGAGTTAATAACAAGGAAAGACTATTATATTCTATGACACGCACGGCCCTTTCCTGAAATGAGCCTACTGTCTGAGTGTTTCGGGGTATCTCAGCGGCGCTCACAATGTTTGTAAGTGTATTCGTTCATTCAAGTTTTGAATCTTTTTCATTATAGGAAATAGAGTCGAAGATTTCCAAGCCCTGTCAGTCTATAAAATACATCAAATGGCCTTTAATTTCTGCATAGACGTGCCAGACGCTCCTAGGCTAGCAGAGACCACCAGAGATGATGCCCTCCTAATTCATGTACAATTCCATGGCAATGGTAAAAAGGACTATAACGTTGAGTATGAAAAGCTCAAAAGCACCATGCTGACAGAATACCTGAGACAACGTGATGGGCCTGACTTTCACGAAAATCTCATGAAGCTGACTTTTAATATCACGCCTGTCGAAGTTGCAAATAACTTCTGCCGAAGTGTTTTGGAAAGGGGGATATTTTGTCGTCAGCGCCCATACATCTACCTTGGTCACTCGGATGAGCAGCTTGCCAAAAAATCTTGTTACTTTATCGCAGCAACACATGAAGAAATCCACGACCTCTTGTCAAAGTTTGGAGACTTTTCTGGCGAGAAAAACGTGGCAAAGCGTGCCAGCAAAATCGCCATGCTCTTTTCACCATTAATAAAAACTGTCCACTTAGATGAAAATTATTTCAAGGTCGAACCAGATGTGACCGGTGGAGTTTTCCCCTCGCACACTTTCACCGATGGATGTGGTTTCATGTCTTTAAGATTCGCTTCCGAAGTGCAACAAGTCTTAGATCTTGACTACCAGCCTAGCGCCGTCCACGTACGCTATCGAGGCATCGAGGGCATGCTAATTCTTAAAGAAGATCTGAGTGGCATTAAAGTGCAGTTCCACAAATCAATGCAAAAGTTCCTGGACCCTGATGGAGAAAAGCCTGACGTTTTTAACATCGTCAATGTTATCGGTTATTCACGCCCATTCACCAATGGTTATCTTAACTCTCGAATGATCATGTTGCTGGAAGCACGTGGTGTTTCTGCAAAGAGTCTTGAGGCCTTACAAGATGACTACCATGAGTTGTTGGAAGGCATAAACAAAGGAACCTCTGACTCTGAGTACTTCCTAATGTTAAAGGGGGAAATTTATCATTTGCAAGAAATCCAAGACAAAGGAATTGACGGTCGCACAAAAAGGGAACTTAAGCGTTTACAGAAGCGCGAGCTGGAAGAAATGGAGAAAGCTACGTACACAAGAGTTCTTGTCCCCAAATCTCGCGAAGTATTTGCCGTGTGTGATCCTCTCAACAAGTTGAACTATGGTGAGTGCTACTTCAATCCCACTCTTCCTGGTAACAAGGCACGAGATTTTACTGCCGGCCAGAAGTTTGTAGTGATGCGAAGCCAATGTTATCATCCAGGAGATGTGCGTGTGTTGAAAATGACTGACAAAAGAGAAGGGTACGAGAAACTGAAGGATTGTCTGGTGTTGCCCGTCAAAGGCCCACGCCCCCATGCGTTTGAATGTTTCGGAGGTGACCTGAGCGGAAAAAAATTCTTCGTCAGCTGGGATCAAAGCATCCTTCCGAGTGGAGAAGAGAAACCATGCAACTATTCGCCCTCCGTTAAAGCTACAATTTCCGCAGCTGTGGCTCACAGTGTCTCCAAAGTTACCTCGAAATTCAAGAGAACCAACCCAAGCAAAGGAGTGGAAGACAGAAAGGAAATAGAGCTGTATTTTGCCACATATTCTGATCAGATAAGCAAAGAGATCGAACAGGCATACTTGCAATGTGCAACGACATCGAGCCTCTCATCAAAAGAATTTCGACATCTCAGCAAGATGTTGTACCAAGTTACCATCCCTGGAGAGGATCTTCAGGATTTGCAGGAAGAGCTCAACAGCATAAAGCCTAAGATACCCTCAGGAAAGAGCACAGGTCTACCAATTGACCACGAGCCACAGCATGCATATGAAAATCCGGAGACAGAGCATGAGCTAAGCACAATCAGTGAACCGTCAAGAAGGCGAGTGAGCCTTACCGGAAGTCGGTCTACAAGTTTAGCGGCAAGTTTGGATTCATCACTCGATGAAGAGGATTTCGAGGAGCGGCAGTCACTCAGACACAACACAATGTCCGCGACGACTGCATGCGAAGGTAGCGCAGGAGATTCCTGTCACCGTGGTATTAAAATATGGCAAAAGATTGACGATAAAGCCAAGGAATTTGTTCACCGTATGCAGCGTGAAATGAGGAAGATCGTCGTGTAAATTTCAGGGAGAGTTAATGACGGCAGTTTTCGACATCCACTTCATTGGAGGTGGCTCATAATAGCCGTCTACTTGTTATAGCGACCCAATCATAACTACTCTTGACAATACATTACCATACCTTTTTTTCTTGCAAAACTATTTTTGAGAAAAAAGAAGTTGCGTTAGTGATCGAAACTATAATTTTCCAGCGTATCCTATACAGATATGAACTTGCTGTGCTTACACCTTTGTTGGATGGTCACGCATACACCGTCGCTGAATGGTCACGCAACGGTTTCTACTCGGCCTATCATCATCTAACTATACAATTAACGTAAAAGATATACTCTGAACTGTTGAAAGTTTCCTTATTTTCTATCATAGGGTTTTAAAGACAGTATACATAGGAATTTCTTGCTGGATATTGTAACCTCAGTCGTCGAAAAAATCGATAGTAATGTCTTAAAATGAGAGTGCAATAAAACGAATATCTCTTTGTATGACAAAACATCAATTTAGACAAATGATTTGGCCTTAGCGTTTGTAAGGATTCACCGTTTTCTCTTTAAAGCTTTCGACTGTTGTTTTGATATTAAATTTTCCTGTCGTTACGACAGGATTGAGCAAAAATTTCAAGAGGTTTTGCTATATCAAAGTAAGGATCAGTAATGACACGCTGGAGCCGAAATTTGTCACGTCAGATGTCAGTGGTAAAGACATGCGTAGAAAACAAATCAACTTTGCTTTGAAATAGAACTACATTACTTAACGTCACAAAGGGTTACCCCAATAGTGATAGACATGATATAAATGAGACATCCACATAGATAGTCAGCGCTTTTGTTTCCAAAGTATAGCGTAGACTTGTCGGAGGAAACTTCGTAGGGATGCTAGATCTTTAGGTTCGACATGTGAGCCGAAAAAAGAACACTGATATTTGTTAGGGGGAAGTAGTAAATAAAAAAATACGTTATGTTTTATTTTAAATAATTGTCAGCATTTACCAAAAGTAGAATATTTAAATATAAATCATCAAACTTTGGCCGACTGCTCTAAAGTGTGTTCCTTTTTTTTAAATGAGCGGAAATTTCCAAGAGCGAGCGCTCCGTGGACGTCATAAGCAAAGGCTCCAGACACTAGCAGGACAAAATAGTGAGTGATAAAATCGATGATAAGCAAAGAACTTGAAAACTACTAAATGCCTAAACAGACGGGTTGACACCACAGTCTCGTACCCAGGCGCGGTCACGGCCGTGGACAACCTTATACAGGCAGCCTGGGGAACACCAAAAAGGAAGGTTTTGTTGTCATTGACGTCATTTGGCTATAATAGACACCGAGTGAACTTGAACCTTTCTCAAAGGACAGTTGGACAAAGGTCCCAGAAACTAAAAACATTACTGGGCTTTGACGATACGTCCATAGATGGTTAAGAGGACTTAAGATTTTTATGTAAGGTAAGAAATGAGGATAATCACACTGTAGGATTATTTGAAAAGTTCGCTGTCTAAGGAAAATTAAAGAGAAGACTTACGAAGTTTTCGGTTCTCCTTAGAAATGTAATTTCAATTGCTGATCAATCCACACAACATACCTGTTGGTTCATAGTTCACCTTTTTGTTTGTCAGAGTTCTGTTGTGTTGCGATCGGGAGAATTTCGTCGGCGTAAATGAGTATTTTTTGGAAGGATCAGAATTTGTTAATATATTTTATCAATATTTCATATATGAGTACAAAAAACGCGGTGGTACAGCAAACCGTGAGAGTGATGACAACGCAATTTTCTAGACAAAAGTACTTTGAAAACAATACATCGTTTATGAATTGTTAGGGAACGTATTTATCTGTACAAGCCGCCAAACATTTTCATAAAATATAAATGAATTCTCCCATTCAGAGAAAAATATTTACAATTTTAAAACTCTCGGCTAACTTCCTTTCGAAAGAGCAAAACGTTTGCTTTATTATCGTGTCAGAAGCGGACATAACACCAAATTTGTCAAACGTAAGCGTCTTATCACAGTGCCAGAAATTATTTATTCCGTTTGCACTGTTCCATTCGTCTCCTAAGTGTCTGATGATCATATGATTACTGTTCTTAAAACTTGTTTCGTTTTCATATTACATCTACAAGAGTATTAAAATAATTCTAATAATTTTTCAAATTAATAGACCTTTGATTATAACCGATCCTCGTGATGGTCAACTGGAGTTTGTCTCTGTTGTGATTCAGTTCGTTGACAATGCAGCTTCCAGAACAACTGTCTAAGAACAAAGACAAACGACTCTAAGGCAAGTAATCATATTGTTTCAGATCACAACTGCAGTAAGTGAGCCAGATTACTGATAACGATGAAGTTAAAAATTCAGTTTCGATTGACATTTGATTAAGTCTATTATAAATTACGACTATTTGTGTTGAAATGCATAGGTAGAAAACGGTTCTTTGGAGCAAATCCTGCCACAAGTTTTTTCGGAATTTGCCCTTGACTCGACAATGATAAATGTTTAGATCGACTGATAGAAAATAAATGATAGTTGCGATGTCTTTTAAGTTTAAAAGATGAGAGATTACATCCGAGTAACCTATCAACTTCTCGGTCTTGTGATTCGCTCTCTTCCGTTTTAAATTAATAATTTTCTTCTGTCATCTTCCTTTGAAGTGGATTACTGCGTATGTGTCACTAACATGGACAATTGCATTGAGTTAACAAATGTGGGTTACGTAATGATAGAATACCACATAACTTCGCTCTGGTAAGACGTAGAAAATGCAGACCCGGTTACTAGTATTTCTCGGTGATATAACGAAAGGTAGAAACTAATGGTTTGACGCCACAAAGCTAGATTATGCAGCCATTTTGAAGAGAACAGATCAAATTAAAGAAAATTATGCAGTCGTGTTGGCAAAGAACAGATCAAATTCAGAAAGTTGCCTGCTGATCAGTCGATTTTAGCTTTGTTCAAACAAAACAAACAGGCAATAACAGGCCCATGTCGGGACGAGATTAACGAAAGCCTGAGAGGTTTAACTTGGCTTATAGATCATGAACTTAAACCTTTTGAGACAAATCTTCAACATTATAAAACGTGACAGTGGAAACATCGTTCTTCCGAAAAAAATTTTTTTATCTCTGTTATGTAATTTTAGCTCGGAAGCGTGTTGTGCATATGACCACTCATCCATTTTCGTGCCATTTTGTTATCATCACTTGTTGCGTGATGTTCATGGCTTATATAACACGAAAACTTTATTTTCGTGTTACTTTTTAAAGTATTTCGAAAATTTATTTGGTTTAAAAATTGAAAGTTTGCCCTGATTTTGATGCAATAGGCAACGAAGTGGTTCAAGGTTTGGGGAATTGATTTTATAACTGTAAAGTAAAACATCACTCTTCTTACGATGAGGTTAAAAGATTCCGGCTGACGAATGAAATGAGTGCGTGAAATCTGGTACACATCCTCTCTCTAAAGCGTGCTATGCACATGATTTCCCCAAGCTTCTTTGTTTACCAAATTGGCAATGGGAAATTTTGGATAGTTCGACTTGAAATAATCCCTCGCTCCAAGAGATCGGATTTTTATCTACGAGTCATCTGTACTGACAGAAAAAAAACGCAATCGAAAAGTTTCAGTTTTGATGTCCTCATACATATTTTTTCCTCAAACAGTAGCCTGCAGGCGTCTTATGAGTGCGAGCTAACGTTATAAGATCGCGATCGTTTATCCGACCGGCTATGTTTGATTTGCAGTTAGAGTGGACGGTGGGGGTAGGGGGCGGGGGAAAGGGCTTCCCCCACCCCTACCGCCCTCTTTATTTTTGACCGTGGACCGCCCCTTTGGTACAAATTTATTTCTCTCCCCAGCCTTTCGCTGTCATTAGAACTAAAGATGGCGGCTATATTTTTCGTTATGAAATTACTAAGCACTCCCTCGCCAAAAGAACGCCTGCTCTGCAGGCTACTCAAACAATTGCGCCCTTTTCGCACCTATACCAATATCAGTAGGCATATTCTTTGCATCGTTCTTCATATTCAAGTTTAACCTACCGGTACACACAACTTACTGCTCAAACATCAAGTAGGTGTTATGGCGAGGACAATCATTTTCAAACTTAAGAAGAAACTTCGGGTCAATAGAGTCTCAAGAAGCATCGAAACACTACAATATCGCTAAAAAAAATATTGACATATTTCACTGGTCCTAATTCGGCCAACCAAGGGCAAATTTGAGACAAACTGGAAGCTACTAATAAAGTAATTTGGTTTTATCAATTGAGTTGATACTGTAAGTTGACCACTATAAACGGAATATTTAAACGTGGCATTTCAAGCGTTAGCCCTCGGCAGTCGTCATTTGCTCTGACGAAAGGCTAACGCTCCAAACGTCAGTTTTAGAAACTCCTTACAGTGGTCAATTTACATTACCAAGTCAGCTGATTAAACCAAATTATCTTGTAATACCCCAACGACGCAGTAACACAGTTCCTTTAGAAACTTATCCCTTAAAAAGAGAAAGTAGAACAGGGTAGAAAGTTTAGAAAATCGAGTTTAAATGACGTTTGAGTGCTACAATTTATTGCAAGAGCAGCAAACACTGGTTTGGAGGAAAGGTTTCAGCTCAACTGAAATTAAGGGAGTATTCACGCTCACTGCCGCGTTCGAGACACAATATTGCTACATTATATCAGTCGCATGTTTAAAACATAGAATTTCGCTGGTTTCTGAGATCGTCAAATAATATATTTTGACAGGCAAGAATGTTATGAGATGGTATTTGGCACGTATTCCTGAAGTCCAGATTCATCGTATAAAATGTTGAAAATCTCAGCTTTCCTCAGCTTTATTATTAAATCTTCGGTAACTTTTTCATGGTTTTTTCATTGAAAGTATAATTAATTATAAAAATTCATTAAGAAAAAGAAGGTCACGCAAGCTACCAAATAAAAGGGGAATCCTCCAGGTACTTTTGTCTGTTTTGAGTAATTTTTATTATAGTTTCGGCGCTTTTTAGTAACTTTTTCTCGACCTGTGCTTTTTCAATTTCAACTGTAATACTTCCTCTCAAAAACCGAGGTTTTCTTCTGTTCTTCCTGTGGCTATTTTCTCGACTCTATCACCGCCGGGAGTTTCTTTTGTGATTTCTGGATATGAAAATTCTTTAATCGCGCATCCTAAACCGGCGTCTTTTATAGATGAAACTTTTCTCTTTAAGGAAGCTCTTAAAACCTTTCCAGGAGGACGAAATGAAATTTGTTCGAGCGAAAGAACACATCACAACGCCCAGTTACATCAAATCATGAGGACGCTGTTTCATAAACGTCAACATCAACAGAAATGCAAGTTCCTATTGGACAAAGCAAAACCTGTTCTAAGTCACTGAATAATTTCAGGATCCCACAGGTGGATTGGCAGTTTAACAAAAAACCAATTTACAGTTGAACGCTAATTGTAGTTATGATCTTACGTGAAACATGCAGTTTTACGGTTTAATGAACAAAACAGCAGGTACTAGTTATTACTGACATGCGGGGAATTCCATAGGTTCGATTGAAACCCCATAATTACCAGTTCGCTAGAGGTGTACATTTTTATTTTGGCGATAAAGTTTCGAAGTTTCGCATTTCTGAGGAGCAAAACTGGATAACAGACCCCTTCTGTGTTCGTGGTTGGCCAGGTTCCAATTTGCCTTGCCCTTTTGCTGACAGGCTTCTAATAAATATTAACGATTTCAATGAGTCTTTGCATAACCTTAATTGAGTGCTGGTATGTTTTTTCACAGGGAACGAAGACAAGACTACGTCCGGTCCAACCTGAATAATCTGATGGCTTTCCACCGGTGCATAGACTTGTCAGATGTTAATGTCCCCTTAAAAGGCCACCAAGCCGAAGCGCACATACTGCACGTCAAATTTCATGGGATCGATCGAGACGATTACAAAGTTGAGTATGAAAAGCTCGAAAGCACTTTGCTGACAGAGTACTTGAAACAACGCGATGGGCCCGACTTTCATCAAAAACTTATGAAATTGACGTTTAATATTACACCAGTCGATGAAGCGAATGCCTTCTGCCAAAGCGTGCTAGAAAGAGGGATTTTTTGTCGTCAAAGCTCGTACTTCTTCCTGGGTCACTCGGATAAACAGCTAAAAGAAAAATCGTGTTACATGATGAAAGCTTCTAATGAAGAAATTCATGAGCTCTTGTCAAAGTTTGGCAATTTTTGGGAGGAGAAAAACTTAGCAAAGCGGGCTAGAAAAATCGGCATGCTCTTCTCAAAGTTGAACAGAACCATGCCATTGAGAGCAGACGAGTACACAGTCGAGCCAGATAAAAAGGGTGGAGTAGTTAGGTCGTACACTTTCACCGATGGATGTGGTTTCATGTCTCCAAACTTTGCTTCAGAACTTCAACAAATCTTTGAACTGAATTACAAGCCGAGCGCCGTCCACATACGATATCGAGGAATCGAAGGCGTGCTGTGTCTCAAAGATGATTTGACAGAAGTTAAGGTGCAGTTTCACAAATCAATGCAGAGGTTCTTCACACCAGACGAGAATATGCCTCACACGTTCAACTTCATCGATGTCGTGGATCACTCGCGTCCCTACGTTAATGGTTACCTTAATTCTCGAATGGTCATGTTGCTGGCAGAACGTGGTGTGTTCCCAGAGAATCTGGAAGATTTACAAGATGGCTTCCATGAACTAGTGGAAAACATGTGCAAAGAAACCGCAGAATACTTCCTTTCCTTCAAAGGAGAATTTCGACTTCTGCGGGAAATTCAAGAGAATGGAATCGACAGTGGTGTGAGAAATCGCCTGAAATTGTTACAAAAGCAAGAGCTAGACGAGATGGGAATGGCTGCCTACACAAGAGTACTTGTTCCCAAATCCCGCGTGGTGTTTGCAGTGAGTGATCCTCTACATAAGCTGAAGTACGGTGAATGTTATTTCAACCCTACTACCCCGAGTGAAGAAGCAAGGAATTTCCCTAACGGCCAAAAGTTTTTGGTGACGCGCAGTCCGTGCTACGTCCCAGGGGATTTGCGCGTGTTGAAATTGACGAATGATCGCGAAGGGTACGAGAACTTGAAGGACTGCCTGGTGCTGCCCGCCAGAGGTCCACGTCCTCATGCCTTTGAATGTTCCGGCGGCGACTTGAGTGGAGAGAAGTTCTTCGTTTGCTGGGATAAGAAAATCATTCCAAGTGGGAACGAGAAACCATGCGACTACTCGCCCACAAAGGGAGCTACAATTCGTCGAACTTCGTCTAAATCGCTCGCAAAGGTAACTGAGAAATTCAAGAAAAATGACAATGGCAAAGAGGTGAAACATCGTGAAGAAATGATGCAGTACTTTGCTACATACTCTGATGAAACACAGATTAAGATTGAACGAGAATACATGAAATATGCTACTGGCAATGGCCCATCATCGAAAGAATGCCGACACCTTAGTAAGATGTTATACCAAGCCACCAATTTCACCAAAGATGCAAATGATCTCGAAAAGCAACTTGAAGAAACGGAACAACCAACAAGTTCGGAATTGCCCTCGAATTCACTACCTAACAGGCTATCGTGCGTGTTTGCCATTAGCGAGAAAGAATCTGTGAATGAAATAATGAGGAGAATCGACAGTAAAGCAAAAGAGTTCTTCGAGCGAATGCAATTTGAAACAAAGAAGAGCGAAGCTTAGGCCCCAGTGAGGAGGAGAGCAGTAGCTTTTTATACCACCTTTTGATATCTAGCGGTCTGAGTGGAACAAAAAAGATAAAAACTTTAAAAACCCAAAGTTGGGAATGTGCGTTACCTCATAGAACATCACTTTACAAAACACTTTTTGGAAGTTTAGATACTTTTTGCTTTCCCGCCTTCTGACGCTTGGTTCACAAGAACTCCTGACATCCAGCACAGCTTAAACATGGACTGATAATAGTTAGTTTATAGATTGAAAATCGACAACAGGCAAACTCTTAGGTAATATTTCTTATGAAAACGAAACTTCATCTCGCAATCACTTATCATAATTGTTACCTTTCTGTACATACCAGTTACGATATTTGGAAAAGAGTGTGTACGAGAGTATTCCTGTTGATAATTTTCCACATATAATTTTTATTTATACAAGATTCATCACCAAGGGCGAACTCCCTTTCCCTTTTTTGAAGCATATTCGTTGTTTTGAATCATATGCTAATATAGGACTATTTTGGAATTTGCTTTAGATTTTGTATAGTTTTTATCGGCTAAACTGAAAGACTTTTTCAACTCGATTTTTTTTGTCCTTTTACTTTCGTATTTAGTATCATCGGTGAAAAGTGCATGTATAAATAAGAGACTTGTGTTAACTTTTATTGGCTTTGAGTGCGCCGATTAATCGTACAGCTGGAGCCTGTTGTGTTTTGTGTTATCGCCCTAGCAGGTGTTTTCTGGTTGTCACGCTTATTTTCACGTAACTTTTAAAATAAAAGGCTAGCGTGACGTCTTTGTAAAGCAAGCGAGTGATATTGGAGTGTATAACCCTTTTCAATATTAAATTCATTGTAATGTAGAAAAAAAATGTTACGTATAGCCATGTTATCTTTATCAATTGCTTTGCAAAGCTGGTATTATTGTAAAATTGAAAACTAAATAAGCATTTAAGTGATGTTATTGCCTTAATTCGTGAACTAGGTAAGGAAACAAATAATCCGATTTCAAAGTTATATGCGGGCGGTGGGAACTGAGCATAATCATAACAGCATGTAAACCTGAACAACGCTTGAATTAAACAGTTTTTGATGAGGCGTACAGTGGTAACTGGTGTTAATGGCGAAGTCGCGAAGATTCGACCGCGCTTTTCACGGTGCCTCTTTTGCCTCAACCCTCCCCATGCAAGACAAATGAAGTCCATAGAAAAAAACTTCCTGGCTGAAAACGGTGAATCTTTTGTCAAGATAAATTCCAAGCATCACATTTCAAAGCATCACATTGCCAGAAAAAGAGAGAATAACAAGTTATCGAACTTCAAAATGAAAACGAATTAATCAGTGGGGAGTTTTGGGATCGGAACACTGAAGAAAGTCCATTTAAAATAAGGATGGCGACTACTTTGAAAGAAGGAAAGCCTAGAGCAGAACAGAACAGATCAGTTCGTGAAAACTGCTATCAGTTGAGGTTTACCTTAGTTTGACTCATTTGTGTTAAAGTTGAACTTCAAATTTTCAATCGATAGTGAACAAAAATCTTGGCAGCGAAATCCTTGTTTGCGTTAATCAGCCCGAGTGGTTGTGTTCTAATCGTACTTCGTGATCTCTATTGTTTACGACCTTCAATTCTTGTGGGATCTGAAACACATTAATAAAATATAAGACTGAATAAGTCTGCTAACTTATACTTTCAGTATTTAACATATTTTAACATTTCCGAATAAATATTTCTTTTCTGAACGTGGAGAAATTGCCAAGATAAACAGCAGACACAAAACTGAGGAGCAATGAGAAACTTCCCACCTCTAAATACACAGAGATCGCAGACTTTCCACGGCCAAAATTATAATAGAACACTGTTTGCATTAAAAACAGATCTAAGTTTTTCACTGTTCAGACAAGGTGGTGTTTTAATCGGAGACGGTCACCATGACACATGTGCGAGGGGTTTTTATTGGGGCAAATTTGCAATTCTCAGAAAACGGCCGGAAGTTAAAAAGACTTCTGAGAAGGTTTTGAATGCTCCAATGATCTGCACGCAATTAGTACGTTACTCTATGCATGTCCAATTTGGTATCAGGTATATGCCGAGCTACTATCCACAAAATATTGCTCTGAAAGTTAGCTGGGAACTAAACTAGCTGAAAATTTGGGAAAGTCTACCTGCGAGAAAGATCCCGAAGGGCAGGTAAGGAAAAATTAAAGCGGATTCGCATGGGAATATCCGGAAATAAATGTCTGAATTTCGTAACTAGGAGATTTTGCTTTTAAGGTTCGAAATGCCATCCATCACTAACTCACGGCGGAAGAAAATCATCGGAAAACTTTAAAATTGTTTTTAAATGACAAAGCACGGCTACTATCATCAAAATTGTTCGAAGAAGTAGTTTGTCACAATCAGCAACATCTGCGAAATGACATGTGACGAACAACTGAAGCGGATGTTTGAGCAGTTCAGTCACAACACAAGGACAAAATTGTTGACTTAGTGGAGCTGATACAAAAAGAAAATCACTCGTCAAAATAAATTACAAGGCTTTTGTGAAACATCATATCGGACGGCAACACCGGAATACGAAAAAGCGGAAATCGAAAGAGGAAAATTGTTGCAGTGGACGAACCAAAGATGAAACCTAACATCTTTCGGTGATCACGTTTTGAACGCCGAGCTACAATCGTCGAACAAACTGCCTCTATTCCGTTCTGTAAATTTGTACTAGTTTTGTCAAAATTAGCTGTTGAGTTCTGCGTTAAACCTCATTTACAATTTTCGCTGACATGTTAGTTTACATTTTGCCTCTTCTGCATAAATCAGACAACAACAAGAAGTATACACCAGCAAACCCTGCAGGGGAGGGGAAGGGGAGGAAAACTCCTTTATCTGGCGCTAACTGCAGTGTGTGTCGCCAGACAGGACCGAACAGGGAATTGTTTTGGGGCCTTGAGCCTTAAACAGGGAATTAAATTTTTTTGATTTACCGGCGTCTTGAAAGGCCGTCTTTAGAGATGAAAGAAAAGAAAGAAAGAAGGGAGTTGAAAGTAGTTCCAAGTTCTTCGTTCGACTGCATGTACGTGTTAGTATCTTTCCTTTAGGCAAAAAATCACAAGGACGGATTGACATGTAGCGAATTGATGAACTATTTCACAACAATTCTGCGGCCTACTTGGAGCAAGAATAAGCGAGATGCTAGCCTCACTTAGCGAAAGTAGCGCATGAAAGCCTAATAATTGCGATCTTCTTTAAAATCAAAACATGACCAAGCTGTCCAGTCTTTTTGACATACTTTGCGACATGGGACGACAAGTTCCCGGACAGACCTGAAAAATAGAGGAAATGATCATAAATTCTTATTCTTCCGCTAGAAAATCCAAACGATGGACCCATACGGTATACCAGATGATATGATAACAATACCTCCTAAAGACCACTTACAAACGGTCAAATACGTGAAACACTTTGACATACAAGGAAATCGGGTGCGACCGCCTATGAAGTACAACAAGATGGAAGGTGGCAACCTTTTCCTGGAATACCTCATGTCTGTGCAAGGTCCACAAGTGGTTGACAGGCTAATGACAGTAGGCTTTCGTCCTGAAAGAGGGGCGGAAACTGACTGCTCAGAAAGGATCCTAAAAAGAGGCATTCTTTTTAGCGGCGAGGTTTATCGATTCCTCGGCCATTCCAACTCTCAACTTAAGGAGAGAACTTGTTTTCTAATGAACGACTCGGATGAGCACATTTACGAGCTGCTCGCGGAGTTTGGCAAGTTTTCCCAGATCAAATCAACCGCCAAGCGTGCAAAGAGAATTGGACTGTTATTTTCCTCTTTCAATCAAAGCATAACTCTGGAAGAACACCAGTACGATGTTGTCAACGACATCGAGCGCGGAAATTATATTTTTACCGATGGATGTGGTTTTATGTCAGATTCATTCGCGCAAGAAATACAAGATGTACAACACCTTGAAAGCAAACCTTGTGTGGTACAAGTCAGGTACCAAGGCTTTAAAGGTGTCTTGCTCCTCAATTCCCAGCTAACCGGTGGCGTAAAGGTACAGTTTCGTACGTCCATGAGGAAATTTGCTATTCCGGATGAGCAGATGCGCCGAACTTGTACCACGTTTGGTGTCGTAAAGTGTTCCCGGCCATACACCATTGGCTACCTTAACAAGCAGATTACGATGCTGTTGGCGGACAGCGGAGTTAAGCACAGCTACCTAACTGGGCTGCAGAATGATTATCACGCATTGCTCAGAGAGGTCTTGGGCAGTGAACAAACCGCCGAGTTCTACCTGCGTATCAAAGGTGAGCACAAATTTCTCAATTGGTTGCACGACGATGGTTTGAAAAGTGACAGCTTACAAAGGGAACTCAAAAGTCTTCGTAATAAGGAAATTCGCAAAATGCAGAAAGAATCCCCTAAGGATGGAAACGACGACACCAGTCAAACAAATGGTTCAAAATGTAAGCTGAGGGTTCTTGTTCCAAATTCAAGGGTAGTGTTCGGTACATGCGATCCATTTGACGACCTTGAGTACGGCCAGTGCGTTTTTCAACCAACTCTTTATGACGAGGTGCAAATTGCAGAGTTTCAAGCGGCTCAAGAAGTGATTATTGTTCGGAATCCCTGTTATCATCCAGGTGACATCCGTGTATTGAAACTCGTGAAAAACCTCCGAAAATACGAGTATCTCAGTGATTGCATCGTGTTCCCTACAAGAGGGAGCCGACCGCACGCCGACGAATCTTCAGGAGGGGATCTTGATGGCGATGAATTCTTCGTGAGTTGGGATCAGGATCTGATTCCTCCATGGCGCAGTGCTCCCTTTGAATACTCGTGTAACAGTCCACTCGTCGCGATTCCAAACGCGGTTAAAGGCTACTTGAATCAGTTTACTAGTTACTTAAGAGATTTCATTACCAGCTGGGCACACCATTACATGCCATCGTTGTTTGGCTCAGTAGAGCACGCCGAGAAAGCTAAAAAAGAGAAAGAGCGAAGACACATGCTCGAATACTTCACGTCTTTCAACAATGATGTGGTTGCAAGAGTTGACGCCGTCTTCATGAAGTATGCTGCTCTGTACGGACCGTCATGTTGCGAATGCGTTTATTTGACCAGGTACACATTTGTTTCGGTTAACTTCCGGTTTCATTTAGACAAGTCAAGAGAATATCGATTGAGTTGATATTCTCTTAAACAAGTAGAATGTAAAGTTAAGTCACTAATGGTATGTAAGAAAAACTAAACAAGAGTTCATAATGGTGCGCATCATCATATCATAACACCTCTGAATCTCTTCCTTGGCGGATCACGTCAAGGACGCCGGCATAGCTCTTTGACTGAAAACAATCTAAACGTCTCGCAAAAAAAAAAAGAAGAAGAAAATTAAGACAAGTAAACGTCATTAAAAAAGTAAGAACCCAGAGGGTAGTATTTTACGGCATTTCACAAAATCTTAAAAACACCTGTTCTTCATCGACAGATTTTTCTCAGACGCCGTTGACATGTTGGCGGAGAAGGACGTAGTGCTCGCCAAGGTTCGGGAATTGAATCGCGACTATCCCCGTGGATTTTTCCAGGATGCATCCGCACGACAACCGGATTTCTTTAGACGCATCCTGATCCGAATGAAAATGCGGAAACCACCATTCCAACCAGGAGATGACGTGTGGACGCGCATGGAAGAGAAAACGCGATCATTTGTGGAGGAAATGTCGGGACGACACTAGTATCGAGTTGCCCGAGTATGTTTACATATCTTGTCAAGCAGGAGCCCGATAATTCTGCCTTAAGTCTTCATACGATGTTGACCATGTGAAAAGTACACATTTGGAAATTTTCTGTTCCCCAACAGAAAGTTTTCGTGTCCGGAGACTATGAACAGCATTTTGTCAAAATCGGAGTTCCTTGCTCTCGCATCAACTCATCAGACATATGTTTCGCACGCTCGTTAAATCCAATTTTTTTTTGCAAATATCTATTTTTACAAAGAGTAGGTGAAAATTAACAGTAATTGATTGAATGATTAAGTTCCCCTGTGATACAGTGTTACTTTTACAATCATTCCATATTCTGTTCTTTTTCGTTTTTTATTAGCTCTGTATGTATCCCATATATTATTGAAAAAGCATCAACTGTGTTATACTTACGGAAGTAAAGATTTCCAAAGATCCACGGTTGAAAGAGGAAATTCTGACAGTTTTCGGATAAACATTCTTTCCGCGGACAGTTTAACAACCTCGCCTGAAAATACGACGGTGGAAAATAAACAGAAGAGTGAAAACGTGGCAATCTAATCCGTAATGGTTAACTTGTACATTTTTAAATTCTCGCATTTTACTGACAAAGGTGTCGATGAGAGTTCATATATTAACCCTTTACACCCTAACATCCAAATGCATATTCTCCACAGTGTTCTGTATACATTTCCTAAGGAACTGACAAGAGAATTTGTTTAACAATCAAGAGCTTCTTAGTTGTTGATCATTTTCTTTATTCCCATGACCTTAATGTTTGATCCAGGAGTGACACCGTAAGGAGAAATTAGATGTAAAGTAACTCTTGGGGGTTAAAGAGTTGAGCTAAATGATACACTCATTCTGATTGATTCTTTATCTTACTGGTTCTGGATCATTGTTAACAACATTTTGCTTCTTTATTATGTAAAACAAATAGATTCTATTTTGCAGTGCTTCTGTTAAGTAATGGATTACAGATCACTTTAGTGACACACTCGGTTGCGCCTTGTTTCTTTTTTTTTTTTTTTAGGGACAATATGTAACTCATTTTTTGTCATCTTTTTTTCAGTGGTGAGTGGAAATTTTTTAAGTAGCTAGGGATAGGAGGGTTTCTGTTTTTCTTTTCAGCCTGTTTGATTGAAATTTTACATGAACAGTAAGAAGAAATCCGATCTTCAGAAATCAGTCTTCCTGTTTCGCCAATGTATAACTTATTGCAATAAGTGCAAGTTATGCAGTAAATAACATTGGCGGAGGTACACGCAAAGTGATCAGTAATCGTAATGGATCTCAGATGGATCTCTTAATGGAGATCCATTAAGATCACTGATCACTTTACGTGTACCTTCGCCAAGTTATTTACTGCATAACTTCCACTTATTGCAATAAGTTATACATTGGCGAAACAGGAAGACGACTAGGTGACCGATTCCGAAAACACCTTCGCGACGTGGAAAGAAATGACAAGGACGCATCCAAACCAGTCGCTAGACACTTTAATCTCCCTAATCATTCTAAACAGCATATGGCAGTTTGCGGCCTTTCCTTACATCTAGGCAGTTCGGAAAGCCGCATAACACTTGAAGAAAAATTTATCTACCAAATAGGCACCCTTAATCCCCACGGAATCAACGAGCGCTTTTCATTCAACTAATTTATTCCTGTCTTCTCGTCACCATATTCCCACCAATAGCGTATCTCCACTTTCTGTCTATAAACCCACACACAACCCACAATTCCTCCAATCGCTCTGACGACGGGCTAATGCTCGAAACGTCAGCTTTTTTTACCCTTTACGATGGCCAATTTACGTTTTCAACTCAGTTGTTAACAGTAAATTACCTGCTATACTCTCCCACCGACGCAGCACCACAGTTTCTTTAGAAACTTACCCCCTTTATTCATTTGATAAAAACATTAGCCTAGAGATAAGATCTAATCTCCGAGTCTTACGAATCTCTTGAGAGGAAAATGGACCGAGAATGAACTGGGACCGAAACAGATTTCTTAGAAAATGGCCGGAAGTTGACTCGCGAGGCTTCAGAACAAATCAGTGAATGATCTCAACGATCATCTGATAGTTTTGACGAACATCACCTGACCTTTTTCGGAAATATTTCTTAAAGCTTATGAGGAACTTTTCTTCAAAGAAATATTACAGAGGTGAGTCAAATGAATTCAACCAATAACGGATATACTATATAAATACAAATGAACTAGTGGGATGTCGAAAATTAAACGTACATATGTGATTGTTTTTGTCTGCCTCGCCTGACACGAATTGTTCAAAACAAACCCAAGGCGAAGGCAGCACAGTTTTGAAATTACTCTGTCGATGAAGCAGGACAAGCTACACATTTACTTTCAGCGTAAACAATTTTACGCGAGAAGGCACATGATGTCATTCTACAGACAAAGAAAAGCCGTATTGTTTACGTATTTAAATTGAAGTCAATCACCGGCCAAATAAAACTGTGTTGGCCAAAAATTGCGAATTTCTAAAACCATTGACTCCGGTGTAAACTCGAATGAAGACCATTGTGAGTCTTCACAAACTGAATGAAAGTATTTTGGTTTCTGAAACGTAGCCATTTTAAATTTGAAGGGATCTGTATTTAGCAATCGAATTGAATTTCAAGTCAGAGAATACTGTGCTTGACGATCGGACTGTTAAGATCATATCGGTCTGACGTTTCACAAGAAAAAAATATTACAAAATACTTTTTTCAATCGACCAATTGCTAAAGTGGAGTTGACAACCGAACCGATAGCAGTAGTGAGGGGTTAAAGATTATCCCCGACTCTGATCGAGTTCTACAAAATATATTAATCGTCACATGATTCAGTGGTAACCACGCTATTCAAGCAAAATTGTAGTGGTGGACTAATTTATATCGCTGTTTCTGCAAATAAATAAGACCTGTCTTTACTTACGGATTATGGCCTCACGGACAAAGTCGTGAAATTATCATGGAAGCATCACGGGTACATCCCGTTTGACACGAGTCGGTGATAGTCAAGAGTAACATGTGTTTTCCCTTTCGCAAACGCTTGTTCGATAATAATAGCGCGACGATCAAAACCGCGTTTTCATATTGCGCTGAAATCTGTGTTTATCATAAATAAGGGAATAACATGACTTTTTTCGGGAATATTGTTTATTTGCGCCCTTGTAGTGTCGCAAATGACACTACAAGGGCGCGAATAAACAATATTCCCGAAAAAAGTCATATCATTATTATCAATAAACAAGGCCAAATGATATCAAGAATGCGAGTTTTAATAATACAAGCTAAGTGAATGACGAATTCAAAGTCACTTCAAATCATCATGTAAGTGTTGATTGAACAAGCTATTAAAGAATCAACTCAGTCCAGTGAACTTATTGAAAATTACCGAAAAAATGCTTAAAATCGTCTATAAATAATAGGCATATCACAAAGTTAACCTTAAAATGATCCATCGGATGATGAAGCAAGAACCAATCAGCTGTAGGGCTGATAATGCATTAGCAGCCCGCTGTCAGTCTTTTGCGGCCCGCTGAGCGTGTGTTTTGAAGAGGCCGATTTTCTATTTGGCCGCGTATATTGATAATAATAGGCAGTAATGATGGTCCTTATTTATATATATATATATATATAATTTTTTTTCATTCTTGAGAGCTTCTTAGTGAGTTCATTCAAAAGTTGAGAATAAAAATAGCTCTAGTCGTGCATGAACCATTACGCGACCAGTATTTCGCCAAAACCCAAACAGTGCAGGGAATATTACTTATTTTTTTATTTAAGTGACAAGGCTATGTAGCTATTAAACATAATTTTTCCGTAATTCTTTTCAGAAAACAATCACGATGGAGCCCTACTGTATACCACCCGAGATGATAACAACTCCTCCCGAAGACCACTTAAAAAAGGCCATATACGTGAAACACTTTAACATACACGGCGGTCGGGTGCGACCGCCAATGAGGTACAACAAAGTGGGAGGAGGTAACCTTTTCCTAGAATACCTGATGTCTGTGCAAGGTCCGCAAGGAGTCGACAGACTAATGACAGTGGGTTTTCGTCCTGAAAGAGGCAGAGACGAAGACTTCTCGGAAAGCATCTTAAAAAGAAATATTCTTTTTAGTGGCGAGATCTACCGCTTCCTGGGCCACTCCAACTCTCAACTTAAGGAGAGAACTTGTTTTCTATTGAATGACTCGGATGAAGGCATTTACGAGCTGCTTGCGCAGTTTGGCGAGTTTTCCCAAATCAAGACAACCGCTAAGCGCGCCAAGAGAATTGGGCTTTTGTTCTCGTCGTTCGACCAAAGCACTATTCTGCAAGAAACCCAATACGATGTCATCGATGACATTGAGGGCGGAAAATACATCTTCACCGACGGATGCGGTTTTATGTCAGATTCATTTGCGCAAGAAATTCAAGATGTACACCGTCACCTTGAAAGCAAACCTTGTGTGGTACAAGTCAGGTACCAGGGTTTTAAAGGCGTCCTCGTCCTTAATCCTCGGTTAAACGATGGTGTTCAGGTTCAATTCCGCAAGTCCATGAAGAAGTTTAGCATTCCAGATGAGCGAGTGCGCCTGAGTTGCACCACGTTTGGTGTTGTAAAGTGTTCCCGGCCATACACCATGGGCTACCTAAATAAGCAGATTACGATGTTGTTGGCCGACAGTGGAGTCAAACATAGCTACCTGCGACAGCTTCAGAATAATTTCCATATCATGCTTCGAGAACTCTGTAGCGCCAGACAATCTGCCGAGTCATATCTATGTATCAAAGGAGAGCAAAAATTACTCGGTTTGCTGCATGACTTTGGACTGGAGAATCCTCGCCTTCAAAGACAGCTTAAAGCTTTTCGTGCAAAGGAGGTTCGCAAGATGCAGAAAGAAAATGCCGATGAAGATGAATCCAGTGTGACACAGACTTCAAGATGTAAACTGCGGGTTTTAGTTCCAAAATCGAGGGTAGTGTTCGGTGTGTGTGACCCCTTCCAATCCCTCGAATATGGCCAGTGCGTTTTTCAACCCACTCTCTTTGATGAGGAGCAGATGGAAGGTTTTCAAAGGGCTGAAGAAGTAATAGTCGTGCGAAATCCATGCTATCATCCGGGTGACATCCGTGTTCTAAAGCTTATCAAGAACCAACCAGAGTACGCATATCTCAGCGATTGCATCGTGTTTCCGACGAAGGGAAGGCGACCACACGCCGACGAATCTGCGGGAGGTGATCTTGATGGCGATGAATTCTTCGTTAGCTGGGACCAGAATCTGATTCCTTCGTGGCGCAGTGCTCCATTTGACTACTCAAGTAACAGTCCGCTTGTCATGATCTCCAACGCATTTAGCCACTTGGGACAGTGGACTAGTTCCCTTCAGAACCGCATTTCTAGTTGGGGTTGCAGCAACATGCCATCTGTGTTTGGCACAGCTGAGGAGGCCGAGAGGAAAAAGAAATTGAAGGAGCGAAGGCACATGCTTGAGTACTTCAGCACGTACAATAATGATCTAGTGGCGCGTGTCGACACTATATTCATGAAGTACGCTGCCCTTTATGGTCCGTCATGCCAGGAATGTGTTAATCTGAACAGGTAAACAATCCGCTCTGGTTTGATAGTCTTTCAGAATAATCCTGCTTCGCAGAGTTTCACGAAT